TTTTTTGGCCCCCCCTGTAGACCTCCCCATTGAACTTGGCCCGAACTGGGTCATTGAGGAGATTTGGGTCAGGTGACCCACTTGGAATTTCGTCTTCTTCGGGTACTCAACGTCCTTCGATTCCAAGTAGGCGAGAGTTTTTCCAACGCCCTTTGATTCCATGCGCTGGCACCCGATCCTGTAGCAGTACGAAGTTCCCCGGTGGTACAGGAGCTGGCTCTCGCCCATTTCATGTACACCAAAATATGAAGTCATCTCCAGTCGCAGCCTGACTGGAGAAGCCTTTGGAATTCACGTCACCTCCAAACAGCTGCGAAACTTCTTGTATGGAGTCACCCATGGATAGCTACCTGGAGACCAGTACTCTTGATCTGGAAGACCTCCAACATCGAGCAGCTCCGACAACGTCGCTACGGTCCAGGACATCATCTTCACCGCAGTCGCCAAGCGGGTTGGTGGTATGGACCGGAAGTTCCTGGAATGTGAAGACCGATATTTTCTTCGTGGACCCCGGACTGAAAGTGAACGCTGACGGTTACATCGACCAACTCGTGGAGAATATCCTGCCTTCATGTCATCGCCTGTACCACCTTGGAACTTCGTACTGCTACAGGATTGGGTGCCAGCACATGGAATCGAAGGGCGTTGGAAAAACTCTCGCCTACTTGGAATGGAAGGGCGTTGAGTACCTGAAGAAGACGGAATTCCAAGTGGGTCACCTGACCTAAATCCCCTCAATTACCCGGTTCGGGCGGAGTTCAATAGGGTGGTCTACAGTGGCGGAGAAATCAACGACTTCGCTGAACTCAGGCACCGAATCACGGTCGCGTGGCAGAATCTCTCGATGGCGCTCGTCCAGAAGGCTGTGGCGGAGTTGGAGACGTCCAAACAGAATTTAACAAAGTCTAACTTATAGCGCCTTGAATATCAAGGAAGAAAAAAGTGTCTTTTCTATTGGCCCCCTGTTTACCCTTGTACCCTCCCCCCCTCCCCCCCCCCCTCCGCTCAACCTTCTTAATTCTTCGTTAGTTTCAAGCAGCGTGGAGAGCATCGCAAAGAGGTTTCGTTCTGAGGTTTTGGGACTTTCTGCCATAGTGAGAATCCAAGGGAGCAATTCATATTCTTAATTCAATCGCTCTAGAAGCAGGAGAAGTTGACGCATCAACAGAAACGTGGGGGAATGAAGGGATGCTCTTGGCATGGATGCTCTTGGCTATTTGTGCATAAAGGTAGACAGTCTGATTCAATCAAAGGAGATGCTATAGTTAATGATATTTTTGGAATGCGCTACACTTTCGCTCTGAATGCTGTGTGAAATGCCAAAATGGCCCACACAGTGATTCACGGGCCGGGCGATACACAATCTGTATAACTCTGAGTTTTTATGTTACTGGACGTATCAGGTTCCAACTATCTGATCCTGAAGGTAATAAACATGATTGGTATTGGTTGGTCCAGTTTTTTTATATGAGGAGAAGGCTTTAGTGTAATCGATCAGTACCGTGTTAGTAGAAAGTGAACGGATGCTCTCTACAAAGCCTTAATTGATTGTTTTTACCTATCAGCAATTTTGATTTTGAAGGTGGTGGAGTGCTAGCAATAAGAACGCTACCTATCAGGTGTTTTCAGAAAGTTCGCACTCTGGTGGTTGACAACTGCACGATAAAATTACAAATAGTGAGTTTGTTCTACAACTGTTAAACAAAAAAGGACATTACATCCATGGAAACAAAAATAAGCTAACCATAAGATTAGTATTAATTGTTCACCAACCGCTGTGGAGGCGCTGTGCTTTCGACAGCCCAGTGTGAGGATCCGCACTGAGATCGGCGGTTTATATGCCATAGTCGGTTTTCTTTCCGATAAACCGATCCAGAGCTATTCAAGAAGATACCTGAGTTGGTACTGCATAAAATCTGGAGACACTGTGGCATCAGTAGCGTTTGCAGTGCTTCGAGGCGCTTTCCGCGACAACCGGGTAGGCGGAGCTCCGCAGCTATTGCACCTTCCTCGTTAGTAGTTTCCACTTTTGAAAACGTGAATAAGAGAAGCCCACCTGTGAAGAAAAGGCAACGTTTAGGAGTCTTCGCCTATCCAACTGTCGCGGAGAGTTTTTGAAAGCAAAGCTCTGGTCTATAACCACACAGTGGCAGAAAAAATTTACTATTACTATGCAAACGCTAAGCCGTAACCACCCTACAGCCAACCATGGAGGTTATAAACCACCAGCTCTATTTCAGTGGGACACAGCCGGTCAAGAGCAATTTCGAACACTCGCCTCCAGTTATTATCGTGGTGCCAACGGGATTCTAATAGTCTACGACATCACCAACGAGGTTTTTGCTACTAATCTCTCAACGGCCTGCAGATATACCATTTTCACCATTTCCAAGTCATGCACTTTTCCGACTAAATCGGACACCTTCCGAACCATATAAGACACTTTCCAAATCAAATCGGACAGTTTTCAAAACTACAGATAGCTAAGCCCACTAGAACCTCCGCTAAGCCCGCTAGAACCTCGACCAACCCACAGAAGCTCCGTCCACTTTTGAAAAATATCCGGATAGGCAAGCTCAGTCTCCACGGTCAGTTATAGTGTCGCTCATCACTCGAAACAAATATTCCCTGGTTTTCTATTCCAGGACTATATTCGACCAGTACGGACTCTCACCTGCCAATCCGGAAAACTTCTAAAACGTGAGCTAGGCTTCTGATAGGGGTGGGGCTACCTGTCACAGCTGCCAAAAGGCGAAAATGTTAAAAGAAGAATGAAGAAGAAATTCTACAAAAAGGGCACAAAAGTGGGCGCGGTCGAAGAGGCGGGGCTTACTGAGCTAGTTTGCAAACGCATATATACTCCAGTTCGCTGCGGACGGTTGGGCGTGTCAGGCAGTATGAGTGTGTCACGCCGTCAAAGCCGTTCTCTGCCTTCTTGTTGAAGCGCGCATGCGACAAAAAGTGGTAGAAAACGAGTAATACGAACGATATGATACAGTCATATCACTTGCTCGCTTTAACAACTGGTAGAGAACGGGTTTGGCACCGCGCCAAATTAAACCCGCATTTGTTTTCAGAGAATTATCACGAAACGAACGAAGCTGAAAAAAAGCATCGTGAAAAATCCGAAAATAGCAATAAATTTATCGGAAAGTGGCGGTGTACCAGATCTATTCAGTTAGTGTGTATTTAGGAAAAAACATAAGTGCAAGAAAGTCACGGAGGCAGACTTTGCAAAACGAGTTCCAGAAAACCATGACAGCGCTGAAAAAAGGCGGGGTTCTGAGGCGGATCAGCATGTTGTGTGATTTAGATAATTAACTGCCCAATGTAAGGGGTGTGTCCGATTTAATTTGAAAATTGCCCGAAAAGTGTCTGCTTTCGTTTGAAAAGTGTCCGATCCAAAATAGAAATGGTATAACGACCTTTCATCCAATCCACTTCTTTGTAGAATACATTCGAATGTGTTCCTTATTGGCTGAAGAACATTGAGAGGTTTGCTTGTGATAACGTGATAAAGCTCTTGGTAGGCAACAAATCTGATCTGGTCTCTGGACGAAAAGTCAGTCATGATGATGCAAAGGTATACATAGGTTACTCGACTTTTACTTTCTTGATCGTCGTACATTAATATTTGATAAGTTTTGATAATTGGGCAGAAAAGACACTCAAAAACAGAATCCTAGATAAGCCGTGCAGAATTTCACAGGTAGCGGGGTGGAAAAATAGAGGCATATGTGCTTGTTGACTTATTCGACAAGGACCAAAAGGAGAGAAAATCGTCGAAGATAAGACGTATTAATGTTCTGGAACTTGTTTTGTGCCCCACGAGGTCGTTAGCTGAAGGGATCACCCCATACATATAATTCACTTTGTTTGTTTGTTTGTTTGTTTGTTTGTTTGTCTGTCCGGAAATTCGGTTCGACCTGAAGAACGACTTGGAGAGGTCGGGTCAAGGTGGGGATGGGTAGAGCATGGGACAAGAAATAAAAAGCACACTTGACCTATGCGAAGCCCCGCCCACAGTGGGCGGGGCACTCGCTGAAATTTTGGGGTTCCACAGAGAAATGTTCATAATTCGCTTCCGGAGCAGCCTGAAGATGGGAAAAAAGTTTAATAAGGTTAGCAAGGAGTTGCCAGACTACCTGTGGGAGACACCCCCAAAATGGGCGGGGCGTACTCAAGGTGGGCGGTGCTTCTCACAAAACTCAGTAACCCGGTTCGCGAGAGTGTTTAGAAGTCGCAAAAAGCTCAGTGCAGAATGTAAATATCTGGCGAGTGTTGGGCACGCTCAAAGTGTGTTGAGACCCGCCCACAGTGGGCGGAGCTTGCCCTAAATCGCAGGATACTCATTTTAAAAGTTTGTAGCTCGGTTCCAGAACACTCCAGAAACCGGAAAAAGAGGATCAAGGTCAGCGAGAGCTGGGCCGATTGAGGATTGTGGGGCACAAACATAGTGGGCGGGGCCTGCTCCGAGGTGGGCGGAGTCAGACGAAAAATCTGTAAAATAGCTTCCAGAGCACTCCAGGGACCGGAAAAAAGTGGATCAAGGTCGGGTAACCGATTGGGAAATGTGGGGCACACATGTTGTGGGCGGTGCCAGTCCGAGGTGGGCGGAGACAGACAAAAGTTCTGTAAAACACGGAAGTGGATGGTCAGGAGGGATCACTGTTTGATGCGGCACACAACCGTTGTAGGCGGAGCGTGCGGCTAGGCGGCGGAGCCAAACGCAGAAATATAGAATGGTTCCATAACAGACTCCAGGCACCGGCAAAGACGAGCAAAAATGTGCAGGAGCTCCGCTATTGAAGCGAGATTTACGCGCCCATTCTGTGCGGAGCTGTGTCGATGTTGTGGCGGGCGAAGGTCAAAAATTCACGAATTAGTTGCAGAGCAGCATAGGCACCGGGGACAGGTGGATTGAGGTCCACAAGGGGTCAGCGGACGAAGTGGAGGAGACATCTCAAAAATGGGCGGGCTGCTTTCGAGATGGGCAGGCTCTTGCTGAAAAATTTCGTGGTTTGCATCTGAGTGAGCTTGGAGATCAGGAAAAACTTTTGGTGAGTCCTTATTTTCACTGCGTTTTAGTGCATAGGTCGCCACACTTTTAAACCTGTTGTCACACGTTGTACATTTGATACCAGTCGGTTCGCTGGCTGACGCCGGCGCGACTCCTTTTCTAATAGGGCCAGGCTTTGCCGGTTGCTTACTTCGTCGCGCCCACCTGCTTGCATATGTTTGAATGCTCAACTAATACCCGGTTTCTCTCTCATCTGCGCATTTGATCAACGCTGCTTACCACCATTCATAGACGGTAATAGTGTCGAAAATAGTAGGTATGATGTTATTGCTCAAGGAGCGTTGACTATGTGTACAGGTGGAAATAAAAGCCGGATAACTGTTGTAGAAGGAGGTAAGCGCAGCGAAGCCGGGCCGTATGAAGGAGGTGCACTGGCGCTAGCCGGCGAGCCGACTGGTTATTCAATATACAGGGAGCAAGAAGAAATCACTTCGACCGAGTCACATATCAGCAAAGTTTTCGCTGCCCAGAGAGAAGACGTGGATACGAGTACCAGGGCGGAAGATACCCAAGATGTTCCTCGATAAGCAGGAGCTGGCTCTCGCCCATCACCTTCATGTACACCAAAATATGAAGTCATCTCCAGTCGCAGCCTGACTGGAGAAGACCTTTGGAATTCATGTCACCTCCAAACAGCTGCGAAACTTCTAGTATGGAGTCACCCATGGATAGCTACCTGGAGACCAGTACTCTCGATCTGGAAGACCTCCAACATCGAGCAGCTCCGACAACGTCGCTACGGTCTAGAACATCATCCTCACGCAGTCGCCATCCTCACGCAGTCGCCAAGGCGCGGGTTGATGGTATGGACCGGACGTACCTGGAATGGAAAGACCAATATTTTTTTCGTGGACCCGGACTGAAGGTGAGCGCTGGCGGTTACATCGAGCAACTCGAGAAGAATATCCTCCTCACATGTCGTCGCCCGTACCTTCTTGGAAACTTTGTACTGCTACAGCATTGGGTGCCACCACATGGAATCGAAGGGCGTTGGAGAAACTCTCGCCTACTTGGAATGGAAGGGGGCTGAGTACCTAAAGAAGATGGAATATCCAAGTAGGTCACCTGACCTGAATCCCTCAATTACCCGGTTCGGGCGGAGTTCAATAGGGTGGTCTACGGTGGCGGAGAAATCGACTATCTCGCTGATCTCAGGCACCACATCGCGGTCGCGTGCCAGAATCTCTCGATGGCGCTCGTCCAGAAGGCTGTGGCGGAGTGTCATGATAGTATTTAATATGCTCTTTAATATGGTGGTAGAAATGTCCGATCAGAATTTATAAAGTGTAACTTATAGCGCCTCGAAAGTCAATGAAGAAAAGTGACTTTTTTTGCCTCGCCACCGTATACTACGACTGAATCGTCGTCATCAGTGACTTGAGTATCTCTCAAAGATCAGATTACGTTCTAGCTCACTAAGCCTTTCGTCAACTAAAGCGATACCAGTATCGCCTTCGAGAAGACCCCAGTACCATGGAAGCAAACTCAACCAACATTCCACCGTTCGAGCAACAATGTCCGCTGCTACGCAAGAGCGATAATTACTTGTAAACAAAAAATACTGCATCGCGTCCGTAACGGTAAAAGTCTACACTTCGCTGTATTGAATTAAAGTCCCAATCGACAACCTGGTGCGGCACAAAACGTTAGAAAGCTATTTTTAATGGTTTTCATAATTTCGGCCAATTTGGTACAAGATGGTATATGGTGAAAGTCCTCAATGATGACAGGTCTGGTGACCCGAACAGGATCCAGCGGCGGGCCACTTCAGCTCAACACTTGCTCCTCTTGCGTAACCAATATTGGAAGCTGTCCCGTATGGTAATCACAAAACGGTTGCAATCAAAGGGACTTTGCTGATGATCCAAACATTGTGGGGTTCTGTAAAGAAAATTTATCTAAAAGACGGGAAAATTAATCTGGAAATAACGCTGTGTTTTCTTCAGTTTTCGACTTTATATCACAGAAATTCGAAACGTTTGAGTGTCGTGTTTTCAGAAATTTGCCGATGAGAATTACTTGCAGTTCATCGAGACTTCCGCCAAATCGGCAGAAAATGTTGAAGAGGTGAGTTTCATAGACAAGCTTCCGTTGAGCACATTATTCGTGTTGTAGATGTACGGAGTAGATGAAAGATTGAATGCCCATACTGGCAGAGATAGATGGCGTACAACCCTACTGTACCACTTGACGATAGCTTTTACACGATACAGTTCAAGGCAAAAGATAACAGAAAGTGTTTTTAACTGAAGGACTCCATAGGAATGCACAGCGGCGTTCGACTTTCATCGGGATTGCAGGGACATGGCTTTTCGACCCGTAGTTGAAAACGCCGCAGTTAGTCGGAGCAGCGTCAGGGGAAGCGGAACCGTCCGTCTCCGACTGCTTCGCTTTGAAAATAGTGCTTGTTTGACGAACTATTTAGGAAGAAAACAACAGTGGTGGAAACGTCGCGGCTGGGGTCAATCCATCCCGCTCAAAACGGACTCGAGCGATTGCGACGATATCACCAACAACACAACAACACTTGTAACAAAAATCGCAGGGCTCGGAAGATGTTTCTATTTTCACCACTAAGCTTGATCCCCCCCTCCGCCCAGCTCTCCACGGGTCAGCGTACTTCTGACGCTACAACTTGACGCAGTGACTGTGCTTTTGATGAAGTATTTTCTTTTCGGGACAATGGAGGTGATGTCTTATTCCAACACTGAACAAGAAGACAGCACTCTCAAGCTGAAACATCTCACTGAGTAACCAACCCTATGCCATGTCTAAATGGCAAGCGTGTTCCGGCTCAGGGATAACGGCTGTAGTTCTCGCCATAACTCTCATCACTGTATCACTGCTGATTACATTTAGCAGATACCCCTTGAACATCTCTTTATAGGCGTTTTTGAAAATCGCCAGAGAAATAAAGGACCTTGTGGCGCCTGCTCCTTATCTGGCATCGAACCACAATTCTATACGACTAGGAGAAACGGAACCTGTAAATGACAGCACTTCTGACAGTTGGTGGTACTGTTGATGAATGATTGTTCATATTTTGTACATGATAATGTGCCATGTGAATGAGTGTACATAATAAATGATTGAAAATTGTGGACTACGTTCCATGTGCGCCTGGAGGCCTGAAGGAATGTCAATCTCTCTTCAGTCTCCTCAAATATCACATTTAAGAAGGAAACTCGACAAAGGAGGTGTGTAGGGCAATATTTTTATTGCTGTTACTCTGTTGTTGCTCTGCTATGTTTGATGTTATTTGTTCGGTGAAACAAATTAGCTCGGTATAATCGTTTAGATGCATGAAAACGAACTATACGCTCCTGCGAGGATGGTCCTCGCCATATGCGAAGCCAATGGGTTCGCAGCTCCAGTAGCGTACCAGCTTCCCTGCTAAATAGTGCACGGGGGCAGAGTTGCAGGTAGTGGTACCGAACGGCCGTCTGCCAACTCTGAACAGGCTATCCTCAAAATGCAGCGCTCCCATCAATACCAAGGTCCCGTTGCGAAACACGCACTCAGCAGTAGAGAACAGGGCACACTCTCACTTGTGCTCCTCAAGTAACGCTATGATTGGGCGCATGGCTGGCCCTTGGTGAGTACGGGGACGGCGCGCGGGTATGACCACTTCAGGCGGAGTTCAGTCACAGCGACTTCAGTCTTTGTGCTCTCCTCATTGATAGGTCCCTAATATTCAAGATGACAGAGAGAAGGGCGACGATTGAGGAATGCTCAGTGCCCCTCACCCGTCCCTCTTCTCTCCCCGCCTCCCCCCCCCCCCCCGCCGTCCCCCTCCCCAAACAAAAAGAAACCACACTCGACGGTAGGCGCAGGAGGTCGGCAAGGGGCTTCGAGGCCTTTGGCATTGCAAAGTAATCTAAAAGCCCTCTCAGGCGTGTGAACAGTGTACAAAAATTAACCTTGTCAACTTCATTTGACCTGTTACAACAACGGTGCTATGCCTTGCTGGCTTTTCGTGGAATGAATAGAAAAAGCATACAAGTGATTCCTCACAGAATAGCATCGAAAAACTTAAGGGATTCAAAAAAGCCGAAACGCCCCTTCTAGCGACGACTTCTTCAAAAACCAGGAAATGCCTATTTCTTCACCGCAGTATACGGTCTACTATTACGTACTCTAGTTCGCTGCGGACGGTTGGGCGTGTCAGCCAGTATGAGTGTGTCACCCTTTCAAAGCCGTTCTCTGCCTTCTTGTTGAAACGCGCATGACAAAAATGGTAGAAACGTTCAATACGAAGGATATGATGTCACTTGCCCGCTTGAGCAACTGGTGGAGAACGAGTATGGCCTCGCGCCAAACACGCCCAACCGTCCGGAGCGAACTACACTATACAGGGGAGGGGGCAAAAAAAAGTCACTTTTCTTCATTGACTTTCGAGGCGCTATAAGTTACACTTTATAAATTCTGATCGGACATTTCTACCACCATATTAAAGAGCATATTAAATACTATTATGACACTCCGCCACAGCCTTCTGGACGAGCGCCATCGAGAGATTCTGGCACGCGACCGCGATGTGGTGCCTGAGATCAGCGAGATAGTCGATTTCTCCGCCACCGTAGACCACCCTATTGAACTCCGCCCGAACCGGGTAATTGAGGGGATTCAGGTCAGGTGACCTACTTGGATATTCCATCTTCTTTAGGTACTCAGCCCCCTTCCATTCCAAGTAGGCGAGAGTTTCTCCAACGCCCTTCGATTCCACGTGGTGGCACCCAATGCTGTAGCAGTACAAAGTTTCCAAGAAGGTACGGGCGACGACATGTGGGAGGATATTCTTCTCGAGTTGCTCGATGTAACCGCCAGCGCTCACCTTCAGTCCGGGGTCCACGAAGAAAATATCGGTCTTTCCATTCCAGGTACGTCCGGTCCATACCATCAACCCGCGCCTTGACGACTGCGGTGAAGATGATGTCCTAGACCGTAGCGACGTTGTCGGAGCTGCTCGATGTTGGAGGTCTTCCAGATCGAGAGTACTGGTCTCCAGGTAGGTGACTCCACACTAGAAGTTTCGCAGCTGTTTGGAGGTGACATGAATTCCAAAGGTCTTCTCCAGTCAGGCTGCGACTGGAGATGACCTCATATTTTGGTGTACATGAAGGTGATGGGCGAGGCCAGCTCCTGCTTATCGAGGAACATCTTGGGTATCTTCCGCCCTGGTACTCGTATCCACATCTTCTCTCTGGGCTGCAAAAACTTTGCTGATATGTGACTCGGTCGAAGTGACTTTTTTGGCTCCCCTGTATAGTCTCACATTCCGTGCGGCTCTCACAAGGTATCGAATACTGATGACTGCCAATTCATTTGTTCCCATCGTCCCACAAACTTGTGGAATTTTCGGATTCTAGGTTTTGAATTTTTAATTTCACTTCTAATTATGACTGTGTCGTTCCTCTTTTTACCAGTCTTTTTTTTGCAGCAAGATTTTAAGACGTGAGGGTTTCCACAGATGACAGATGGATGGTTTCCGAGCTAAAAACCAGGGCATTTTCCGGTGCTAGCGTATTTGGCGAGGGGGAAGACCCACGCGCAGGGTACACCATGGGGATGTGCGAAATGGCGGTGCGAGTACGACCCCCCCCCTCCCCCCGTGCCCTCCGCCCCCTCCCCTCCTGCTCTAACTGACAACCAGATGCATGTTCACCACAAATGGCTTCCTGAAATGGAATCGGAATTTCGAAAGCCGGACTCTTCTCTAAAATCCAGGCAATAAGAGGCTGTTTCAGCCTCATGCAATATGAGGCTGAACAACAGCCGCATTACCTACAATTTTGTCTTAGGATTCAAAATAAAACTCCTCGTTCGATAACCATGTATGACATGCAACTTGTAACAAGGAACACAATCGAAACAGCGACTAATGGTGATCATTGATAAGCTAAATTGGTGAAAAAAATAGCCCCAAGGTCAGCGTGTCAGGCCCCAGTGCATTCAATGAATGGTGACGGGGAAATCATGAAAACATGCACGACACAACAAAGCGAAACATGAAAAATACAAAAAAATGCGGAGCCAAATGAAAAAAGGATAACCAGGCGGCAGTAAATCGTTCTATACTTGGCTATTATCGATCGCAAGGCTGCGACCGCTTTCGCTGCAAAAACGTCATTGGAGCGCGGTAACTCGAAAGTCAGCGTTCTGGGGTCTTTTCAGGAGCTTATATCTCTTTTAGGTGCGCACAAAGTTTCTACTGTTGTGTATTCTACCTAGCTGCAAACTGAACAATCCCCCGTTGGTGAAATATTCCGGATGGGTCACGGTTCGGCCAGGGGTAAATCGCGAGCTGGTTTCCATGATTCGTTCAAACGCAATTTCATCAGGATTAAAGTCGTCCTGAAACCCCTCCATCTTTTCTCTTTCCAATAAGCTTTACAGTTTTTCTGAAGACCCACTAGTTCAGGAGATATTTTAGATGGGTCACAGACGCGCTACCCTCTGACCCACCCGAAAAATCGACTCCTTCTGTGCCATTGTGAGGATACACCTTCGAAAACTCCAAAACACATATTTCCCTTCAAATGAGTGAAAGAGGAGCTCGGCTATCACTGATCGATTTGGTCCGAGTGTGCGCCGTGCATTACGCTCCTACGCAGAGGTGGTGGAAAGGTGTAAATTCTGATTTCAGGTGCTTTTATCCATGCAAGCAGATGTTTGTTTAGGGTTTGGAAAGGACAAATACGCACGAATCTGTTTGAGACGTATTATTTAGTCATCTACGTACTTACGAGTTCATGCTATTAACTGATATTTATTTATTTATTTATTTATTTATTTATTTATTCTTGATATTCTTGCTATATTGCTAATAAATTTTTTATTATTTTGTATTCCTATTTACATCCGGGTCTTCTGAAGCTTTCCGTCCGTTCCATCAGCAATGACACTTTTGTACTGTTTGATGCCTAGCGAGCCTACTTTTGCGATACTCCCCATGTCCCCCGCGGCCAAGTACGAACCCATTTTGGGGATTTTGCATGAGGGCTGTTAAACGTAGCAGTTCAATCTGTAAAGAATACACTCATAATAATTTTCATTTTTTTTAACATCTTGAACTTCCATAGCTCCACTCCCACTATCAACTGAAATGTCGAAGCATTGCCCGGCTCTGAGTGACCCTTGAGATTACGACCCCCCTCCCCAGCGGCCAAGTACGACCCCCCCCCTATGGGTTTCGCACAACGATGCTGTACCCTGCCCACGCGGCTCGCGGCACGCGATGACTCATCTGCTCTTCTGCTCCTCCTCGGCAAAATAGAAGTAATTTCATGTTTAGGACATGAATATAACTCCGCCCTAGGCTTATACATAGAAGGTAAAACTGTTAGCGTTGAGAAGCGCGAAGAAACACTTATATGTCGCAAGGCTTCCGCCTGTGCCTACAAGGGAAGGATTTCTGGCCCGAATGAACCCATCCTTTGTGTAAAAGTGACAATCAATCAACCAATCCGCAGAATCTAAAAAAGAACTACTGCAATAGCTACCTATCAAATCGTAGAAATTGAACCCTGAGCAGTTTTCCTCACAATAAAATTACAAGACAATTCACCTCACCAACTCTCTTCACCTTCCCATTTGAAGTCCATCTGTTTCCGCTCCAAATATGGCAGGAACCATCTGTGCGCTGTTTCAAACACATTCCCGGGGGATCTTTTCTGCTTTATCCTCAGGGCACACCATTGGCTGGGGATTTTAGTCGAGTCTGTACCACCCCCTCCCTTTCCACCACTCCTACAACGCCAAAAATAAATACGACCCCCCTCCCAACAATGACCAAGTACGACCCCCTCCCCCTTTACAACGTCCGTGAAGCGAGAAAAATCAACTATCAAAATAAATTTTTCCCAGCCCAAATACGACCCCCTCTCCTGGCGGCCAAATGCGACACCCCCCCCCCCCCACATTTTTGGAAATTACCCAACAACGATGTGCCCTACATATGCCGGCATAGCTGAAGCGCGTAAATTATCTAAGGGCTGTTTCGAGTACTATCTCGCCAAGGAAGGA